GACCCTGATCCACAACAATGCCAGGATGGATCGAAGGGCATGACAAAATTCACGGTTCGGGAGCCCGCGCAAGGTGTCCAGATCCAAGATTGATACATGCGTTCAGGTGATGCGGGAACCGTCCCGAACGGCCACCCGAGCCCCACGTTATAGCTCGAAGACCCGATCCTCACTTTTTCTTCTCCTCCTTTTCTTACTCCCCCTCCTCCTCCTCCTCCTCATCTTCCTCCTCCACCACCTCATTCCTTTCCTCCTTCTCCTTTCCTCCTCACCCTTCTCCTCCTCCTCCTCCTTCTCAGCTGTCTCCCTGTCATCGGCTTCGTCCTCGTTTCCGCCGTTTCCCCAACCTAGTCCTATTTCCACGGAGCTCGGAACGTGTACCGACATTGCTGAATTGATTCTACACGAGGCCACCCGGCAGCGTATCAATTGCATGCTTTACACTCTAGGCTCTCTCCCCGTCCTGGCCCTACTTCCATGGGCACTCGGGCATGTGTAGCGCTATGCCCGAATCGATTCCGCACCATGCCACCCGAATGAAAGTACTTGCATGCCTTACACCTCAATCTCTGGTTGTTTTTGTTACGTCGCGCGCGCGACATTGCTACGGCCACGGATAGCGCCGAGTTCGGCAATTTCTTCTGGCACGCGCCGCTGTCCCCGCAGACTACTCTGGCTCCTTTCCTCCGCCGATGGCCCTCCACTTGGCCGCGGCTCAAGTGGCCAATCTCCTTGAAAGTCACCCCGCACTCTGGCGCGCAGCATTTGAGCGGCTCCGCTTCTGCCTCTGCTTCTTGTTTCCGATTGTTTATCTCGCGCGTCCACTTCTCGCGCTCCCCAAAACATATGCCTGCCCGACTCTCTGCCGCTGTATTGTTACACATGAGCCACCTCTACATCGCCAAGATGGGGGTTGTGAAGGAACATGCCGCTCTTTCTTTGGCAACAAGTTGCCCCGGTTTGTGACCGCCGCGATCGCCGCGGCGACCCCCAACACCGACATGGCCGTATGGTTCGGGGTCGGATATCACGCAAAGACAGACCTCCAACGCTGTAGCAAAAAGCAGGAGGTATGCTACTCTTCAGGGGCCATCGCCGGGCCCCGGGACCATCAAACAACGACTCGGGCTGAATAGCCCGCGCTGGAGACAGGTTTGGGACTTCGGGGGGCCACGCATTGACAATAACCAAGCCATCGATTCTCTGGGAGTGAAGAACGGCAGGGCATTTCTGGCCACGGCGAGCCTCGGCCACGAGAAGGCTCCCCAACCTAGAGGTTCGAGGAGCGGCCCGAATAAGCAGAGCCCCCCTTCCGAACAACGACCAATCCTTGACTTCGGCGCCTCGACTGCACACGCCTGCGAAATGATGCACCTAAGACGAAGCCAGGACAAGGATGCAATCGGTTGAGGACAGATCCGCCGACCCCTTGTGGGTCTCCAGGCGTGTGAGAGTGCTCCCCCCCCCATTGTCTCCCCCATTGTTCCCCAAGGGCTCCCTGAGGACCTAAGGGTCCCAAGACGGTCCCGTAAGGCCTCGAGTCGCTGAAAGACCGTTCCAAGACGCCCAAGACGGCCTACAGACGGCCCATGATGCTCCCAAGACATTCCAAAAACTACCCCTGACGCTTTCATCGATATCACCGTCACCCTGGCAACCCCCGAAACCATGGAACACAATCTACGCTTAGGGCGGTCGGCGGATGTGGCGTAAGCCTGTAGGACATGGTTGTGGAAATGGTGTGAGCTATTGTGCAAATGCCGATTTTTGTGGAACTCTCGGTGGTTTGGTTTGCTTCAGTGTGGGCAATCCGTGAATGCAATTGTCAAAGCCCTCTGAGCGCAGGAGGTTGTCTTCCCAAACTGCATCTTCTTCCTCTTCGGGGATAGGCACGTCCCTTCATCGACAGTCTCCCCAAATGTCTGGACACGATTTATGAAAAGGGGGTGGAATGTCCGCTCTACGATGGCATAACATGGCCACCAATATTGCCCAAGCTAGCCTGCTACATGGCCCCACGGTGAAATGAAAAGGCCCTTATATTGCTCGGAGGTGCCATGCCCTGCGCTTACTAGGGATAACCTACATGAGCACGATTATGCATCGCAGTATCTTTGCTGCTGATTTGTATCTTTTTGTCTTCTCGGCTTCTCATGAGCTTCGGAAGCCCCTAGACCGCTCTAAAGTGGCTCGACAGAGCTCCATGAGGGACCTAATTCGCCGGCCCAACGGGCCAAGGGCGTGCTAAGATCTCCGGTGACTGGTTAACAATATTAAAATTCGCGTGCGCGGGGCCGCCCCTGGGGGTCCCCGGACGAAAAATACCTCGGCAAGGTCCCGGCAAGTCCCGGCAAGGTCCCAGCAAGGTCCCAGCCATGTCCTGGGCAGGTCCTGGCCAAGTTCCAGCAGGCTCCGAAGAGCGTTCCAGGAGCGCTTCAAGTGGTCTCCAAGAGAGCTCAACATGGCCCGAGACTGGCCAAGAGCGATCCAAGACGCTAAAGAGGGCCTCCAGACAGCCCAAAGCGCCTTCAAGACGACCCAAGAGGCCTCCAAAAGACCCCACAAGAGGGCCCGCAGAGGCAGAAATGAGTGATTTTCCTTCGGCTTTTGAAGGTTTTTGGCTTTCTCGCCTTTGGGGCTTACTGGCGCTCCAAGACGGCCCAAAAGGCTTCCAGGATCACCCCAACACGGTCCAAGAGGCCTCCAAGAGCGCCCAAAACGGTCCCAGAGGGCTCCAAGACAGCCCCAGAGGACTCCAACATGGCCGAAGAGGCTCCCAAGACGGCTCCAAGAGCGGGCCCAGTCGAGGGACCCGAACGGACATGTCGAGCTCTAGGTGCAGAGGTCCCCTGGAAGCCCGAAGAGGCCACCAAGGAGCCCCTGGAAGCTTACCGGCGCTCCAAGACGGCCCAAAAGGTTTCCAAGATCGCCCCAACACGGTCCAAGAGGCCTCCAAGAGCGCCCAAAACGGTCTCAGAGGGCCCAACGACAGCCCCAGAGGCTTCCAAGATGGCCGAAGAGGCCCCCAAGACGGCTCCAAGAGCGGGCTTAGACGAGGGACCCGATCGGACATGTCGAGCTCTAGGCGCAGAGAGGTCCCCAGGAGGCCCCGAGATGCCCCCAAGATGCCCCCCGAGAGGCCCCAAGAGACCCCCAAGAGGCCCCAAGAGACCTCCCAAGAGGGCCCACAGAGGCAGAAATTTTAGATTTACGTAAAAGTTTTAAAAGGTTTTCGGCGCTCTCGCCTTGGGAGCTTACCGGCGCTCCAAGACGGCCCAAAAGGCTTCCAGGATCGCCCCAACACGGCCCAAGAGGCCTCCAAGAGCGCCCCAAGACGGCCCAAGATGGCCCGAAGACAGCCCAACAGGCGCCCAAGACGGCTCAAGAGGGCCCCGGGGACCAGGAACCGAAAAGTCCAACCTTGAGCCCCAAGATGCCCCAAGATGCCCCCAAGAGGCACCCCAAGAAGCCTCAAGAGGCCCCCAGGAGGCCCCAAGAGGTCCCAACACGGCCCCCGAGAGGCCTCAAAACTGCCTCCCAGAGGCCCCTGAGAGGCCAACCACGAGAGCCCGACCAACATCCATGAGACCTCTGACCCACCACTCACCGCATCCGAAAAATGGCAGCCGCCCAACCGGACCGCATTGACAACAACACCCCGACAAACGACAGCAGCGAGGCAACATGGGCCAGCGGCATGAGCGAAGCGATTAAATAATACCCAAGAGATGCCCCTAATGCCCCTAGGAGCACTCCGAGAGAGTCGCAAGAGTGCGAACGAGCCAGATTTCCATACTCCAAGGGGGCTGCATTACTGCGGTGCCACATTTTTTGGGTCAATGGTCTCCAAGATTACCTTCGGGTCCTACAGGCTTCTTCCAGAGGGTCCCAAACGCTCCGAGCTGTGTCTCAAGGGATACCCAATTTGGCTGCAAAAGCCCACCAGAAAGCTCCGACTTGGCCATGTTTCGGGGCTGCTCGAGCGTATCTCAACTTTGGGTAGAGTAGCGCCCCGGCTTTTTGTTCCACGGGTGCCCGTGAACGTCCCTTCTCAAGACGACTTGCCTAGAACACGTTTCCGGATGGGCTGGTCGGGGTACGCGATGAGTGAACTTGTGTTGCCAGTTAGACTCGCTATGCTTGGGCTCACATAGAACTAAACGCACCGACGCGCTGGAAAAATCGCGGGTTTCCTGCGCAATGGTTGACACTACTAGGGTTGCACTCACAGTCCTCGGCGTGCTCGGGCGTGCTGGAACTAGGAACAGGAGGAGGAAGAGCATGATCGGCGCCAGACGTTGGAGTGAGGGTAGGCTTCGAAGTCCGATCTGTGATAATAATAGTGCGAATCGTACAATGCGGATATGAGACTGTAGACTGCCAGAAGGGCATTTTCTCCAAATAGGCTTGCCCTGTAGGAGTCCTAGCTCAAACCCTACTGATTGGTCCGTTGCCCCCCCCTAATTCCTATGCCCCCCCCCGGTTCCTATGGCTATGCCTATGCTTCTGCCTACCCCCCCCTTTCCAATTGCACCCCCCCTTATGTATGCTTGCTTGCGCGCTTGCTTGTTTGCTTGCTTGCTTGCTTGCTTGCTTGCTGAGTTGCGGATTCCAAGCATGCTCGATTTCTGTGATTCCTTGATTAGAGACGTCTCATAGATTCGGAGTCAACGCTGGCTGATATTATAATGAGACAATAGACGCGACAGTCCTCCCTTCATCATTCCGTCCCCACCTGCTCACGTTTCTTTTTCTTCCTCCTCCTCCTCCTCCATCTGCCCGTCTCTCCCCACCCTTCCCTTTTGGCGAGCCGCTGGTCTACGCTTCGTGTTAGGCACCTGTGTCAACAACGCCTACATGGAGCTTCATAGAGATCAGATGCCTCACGGTCACAGCATGCAATCTGGCGAATTCTTCATCCAACCTGAGCTCCTCTTCCCCTTTCCCCTGATCCACTGTGACCAGCCCCTGAACACCTGTTCGAATAAGTTTCGACTTCTGAACCCCGAGCCCGCCATTGTTGTACAATATGGTTGGTGCACAGGTCGCAGCAACACGACACTGCGAGGAAAAAGGGGAACGGACCTTCAAGGAGGAAGGAAACAACCTATGCTGGCAGATTATTATTGCCCAGGCTTCTCAAGTCCAGCGTCGCTAATCGTGTGAGCGAGACGCTCAGGCCTCCATTCCGTGTCCTCCGCGTGTGAAATCACAAGATAAGGCGTACCATATCCGCTGTTGGCTGGAACAGGGCTGAGTGAGGGAGAAAGGGGCATGGAGGGAGGGGAGGGGGGATGACAAGCTAGTTGCGCTCGCGTCATATCCGACGTCCTACCCCTCCCTCCCATCCCTTACCATGACGTAGAAGTCCTCTCTATTCGCAGCCAGTCGGATGTCGTAGCAGGGCATAGCATTACATGGCAGAGCGGGTGTTCAAGATCAGCACGTAACCTGACATAGCATAGCATGGCATGGCGACGCCCCAACGTGGGGGATGCTTCCGCGGCCCAACGAATCAACGAATCGACACCGAATGTGTAATCACTTCCGATGGTTGTTTCGGGTGGCATTTTCTAGATTTTGGGGCCTATTTGGAAAGACCGAACACCATGCCGTGGCACGGCACTGGAAATAATGACGCCACCGCTGCAGCGGGAGCAAGATTCGGAACGAGCGGAAGCGCGGACATGATGCAGCGCTGAGCGGGAGCACGATTCGGAGGACGCGCAGTCTGACATAGCATGGTGTGGCGACGCCCCAAAGAGGGGAGGCTTCTGCTACCCCAGAAATGAACGAATCCACACCGAATGTGTAATCGCTTCGGATGGTTTTTCCTAACCCTCCTGCGTTGGGTTCTCGTTTCGAATAAAGCACTGTGGTCTCTGTCCTTCTCCTCCTGCCCGCCTCCCTTCTCCTTTCCTCTGCTGTCCGCCTGGTGGCTTGCCTGTAGGGCCTGCGAAGTGTAAGTCTGGCATGCCTTGGGAGCTGCGATCTGCGAAACTGTCGCCACTTGCGAAAGCTGCTTGGGGGACCAGCCTCGTGGGTACCAGCAGCGGACTCAGGTGAAACCTCGCCATCCCTGGGGGGCTGCGATCTGCGAAACCATCGCCACTTTCGAAGGCTGCTGTGGGGGCCAACATAATGGGTACCTGCCGCGGGCTCATATTAAACCTTGCTATCCCTGGGGGCCTGCGGTCTGCAAAACGGTCGCCGGTCTCGAGGGCTGCTGGGGGGACTAGCGTAGTGGGTACCCGCCGCAGACTCAGATTAGACCTCGCCATCCCTGGGGGGGCTGCGGTTTGCGAAACTGTCGCCGCTTTCGAGCGTTGCTGGGGGGGGCCAGCATCCAACCCTCCTGCGTTGGGTTCTCGTTTTCAATATAACACTATGGTCTCTGTCCTTCTCCTCCTGCCCGCCTCCCTTCTCCTCTCCTCTCCTGTCCGCCTGGTGGCCTGCCTGTGGGGCCTGCGAAGTGTGAATCTGGCAAGCCTTGGGAGCTGCGGTCTGCGAAACTGTCGCAACTTTCGAAGGCTGCTGTGGGGGCCAGCATAGTGGGTATCCGCCGCAGACTCAGACTAGACCTCGCCATCCCCGGGGGGCTGCGATCTACGAACCCGTCGCCACTTTCGAGGGCAGCTGGGGGGACCAGCATAGTAGGTACCCGCCGCGGACTCAGACTAGACCTCGCCATCCTTGGAGGGCTGCCATCAGCGACACGGTCGCCTCTGTCGAAGGCTGCTGGGAGGGACCAGCATAGTGGGTACCCGCTGCAAACTCAGATTAGACCTCCCCATCCCTGGGGGGGTGCGATCTGTGAAACGGTCGCCATTTTCGAGGGCTGCTGGGGGCCAACATCGTGGGTACCCGCCGCAAACTCAGATTAGACCTCGCCATCCGTGGGGCGCTGCGATCTCTGAAACTGTCGCCACTTTCGAGGGCTCCTGGGGTGGCCAACATAGTGGGTACTCGCCGCAGGCCCGGATTAGATCTCGCCATCCCTAGAAGACTGCGATCTGTGATATCGTCGCCACTTTCGAGGGCTGCTGGGGGGCCAGCATAGTGGGCACTCGCCGCAGATTCAGATTAGACCTCGCCATCCCTGGGGCGGTGCGATCTGCGAAACTGTCGCCACTTACGAGGGCTGCTGGGGGGGGGCCAGCATAGTGGGTACTCGTCGCAAGCTCAGACTAGACCTGGTCATCCCTGGGTGGCTGAGATCTGTGAAACTGTTGCCACTTTCGAGGGCTGCTGGGGGGCCAGTATGATGGCTACTCGGTGGAGATTCAGGTTAGACCGCGCCGTCTCTGGAAGGCTGCGATCTACGAAGCCGTCGCCACTTTCGAGGGCTGCTGGGGGGGCCAGCATAAAAGGTACTCGCCGCAGATTGAGATTAGACCGCTTGCCGTTCGCACCCCCTGTCACCTTCTCCATGCTGCTGCTGCTGCCGCGATGTCTCCCCGCCTCCACAATTCCGTCATTCTCCTGCCCGTCGTTCCCTCCCTTGTTCTTCTTCAAGCCTGGGGCCCAAATCCTCGTCCTGTTGATCGCTGTCCGGTGAGTCGTGCAACGTTCGCGCATCCCATTTAGCTTGCACAACAATTGCCGCGCCTGCACTGTCGTAGTTCCTGCCAATGTTGGCCTACGTCTCTTTCCATTCGATGCAAATGGGTTGGGTGCGTGGCACGGTAGTTTCGGGGGAGGGGCATTTTCTACATTTTGGGGCCTATTTGGAAGGACCGAAAACCATGCCGTGGCATGCCGCTGGAAATAATGACGCCAACGCTGCAGCGGGAGCACGATTCGGAACGAGCGGAAGCGCGGAAATGAGGCCAACGTTGCAGCGGGAGCACGATTCGGAACGAGCGGTAACCCGAAAATGAAGCCGGCGCTTCAGCGAGAACAACATTTTGAACAACAGCCCAATCGAAAACACGTTTCCCGGGAATCCTGTGTGTAACAAACCAGTACGCGGATGGGGGCCGAATCTTTCCCGCATGTCACAAGGGGAGAGAGGAGAGTAGTATTCATCTGGTGGAATTGTATATGAGGGATGGATCGACGAAAGGGGACATACAATAGAGGAAAAAGGATGCGGAAATAGAGGATGCACAAAGGAGGGCAAGACACAGAGGAGGAGAAACGCAATCGGCGATGGGTAGTGCACACGGAGGTGTCATCATTGGCACATCATAAGGAGCCTAAGCCAACGTAGATGCGATGATGACATTCGCTGCAACGACAGACGCTGTAAAGCATTATGAAAACGCTGCGCAGGCATCTGTACTCGCGAGAGGATGGGTGAGTAACGATGATGCCGATGAGGAGGAGGATAGGGTGGGAGCAAGGAGGATACAGAAGAAAAGACATAATCATGACAAGGAGGGGTTGGGACAGGAGAGGGATGCGATAATAGGAGGGATGCAGATGAGGAGGGGGAGGAGGAAGATGAGGGGGAGGACGACGATGACGACGAGGGGCTCCGAGAACGAGGCACCAAGCCAATCGAATGAAAATCATAGCTGCAAATAATGTTAGATCAGCTGTTAGAGCGAATGGGGACAGGATTGTGGAACCCAGTACTACTTTCTCGCCACACAGCCCCCTCCCCTGGATAATGTACTTTCTCTTAGAGTGCCTCGGAGTGCCCAGGGGCGGCTTGGCTATCATATACGCTGTAGACACACGACGAACGATACAATCTACACACTAAGCCGTGGGTCCCGTGACGCTGTGGAGGAGGAGGAGGGTGAATACAAGAAGGAGGGTATGGACGAGGCAGGGGGACTGATAAGCGCGGATGATGGAGCTTGGAGCATGGAGCAGGATGGAGGATGAGGAGGCAGGAGGGAGGAGCAAGGAGAGGAAGGGACGATCATGTGTAGGATGGCGAAGGATATGATGTGACGAGGACGGGCCGGAGACGGAAGAGGAGGTATAAGAGACGACGGCCTAGTCACGAAGGATGATGGGAAGGATGATGCCAGGGAGGGGGGGGAAAAAAAGGAGGGGTGAGGAGGGTGGGGGGTGAGGGAGGGAGGAGGAAAAGGGGAGGGGTGGATGGGTGAGGGAAAGGTTGGGCGAGGAGGGCAGAAGGGGAGGAAAGGGAAGGGATGGAGGGGATACGGGTGAGTGGGCGGCTTATATTAACGGGATGAGGGTGATGATGAGGGGGAGAACGCGAGGGCGATGTGGATTGGGCGAGGGCCACGCCTCGAGACCTCTCGGTTTGTCTTCACTTGTTCGATACGGGTCTGCCCGCGGCTGTGATTACCAGACTTCCCCCTGCGTCTGCCTCTGCCTCTGCTTGCCTCCCTGTTTCGGACCGCGGCCTGAAGCACGGCCGCTTCGCCAGCAAAATTCTGCCTGTCTGTCCGTGTCTCTGTCAACTCACCTGACGCACTAGCCACGGAGCTGCGCTGAAACCTCGGGCTTTGGTCGGGCTTCATGCTGGGATCTCAACCCTGCCGCGCGCGGGCTTCGAATGACGAGTGCTAACAGAAACCGAGCCTTCCCATATGGGGTCTGGGGATCATCATTTTTTTCCAATGGGACCTTTGTAGCGCGGGCGATGCATCGACGATGCGAGCGATGCATCTGCGATGCGCGGGCGACGCTCGAACTGCATTGACCCTCATCCACAATACATCCGCGATGCGTCCTCGATCCATCGCGGATGCATCGTGGCTGCACGGTCGATCTGCTTATCGAGACAATGATTTGCACATCGACACATGACTCCGCAACGCAACACGAGTCCGCAGATCGAGACATTAACCCGCGGATTGAAATACGAGTCCGCGGATCGAAGCATGAATCAATTGATCGGAACATCAATCCAGACATTTAAACAAGCATCTGCGGATCGAAAAATCAACACGCGGATTGAACACTTGCCGTAGGTCAACTGACACCATGATTCGCGGATTACAATATGAACCCCCGGATCGACAATTGAATCTGCGGATCGAACAATCAATCCACGGATCAAAAACTGAATCACTGGGTCGAAATTGCTGTCGCGGGGTCCTTGGATCCACTCGGATATCCGCCCCCCCACCCCTGGGAAGGGGGTATCCAAGCGTCTTTCTCGCAGGGCCTCCATGCGTATGGCGCATTGACAAAGCATCGATGATGCATTGTTGATGCAGTGCACATGCGCCTCAATGCGCTCAATGCGTCGCCGTCGCATCGACGA